TGAATTTTAAAATTAAATAATTTCAAGTTAGAATCATAAATTAAGTGGATAAAAATTTAGGGGAAAGAGGGGTTGTCTCCTCTTGTATTGTTCATCATTATTAGATATATATATATATATATATAAATAATCCCTTTTCAAAATTGCGACGGTAGAATAAAAGAACTCTAACATATAAACATTTCAAGGTGAGAGTTTAATTGACCAAACATCAAAGCGGTAACACCGCGCTGCAAAATCTTAGAATAGGCAAGCAATACTTTTTGGATCTCATTGTAAAATCTTTGTATGATTTGGATAGCTATAGGCTGTAAAATTTGAATTAAATTTGAATGGATTAGTTTTTGTACTACTTAACAATTTTATTACTAAAGTACGCTCTTATGATTACTCAATGAGGGATTAGTCCTAATAATAAAAGTTTAATGGCTCTTTTATTTGGTTAAAATCATGATACTATTTTTTAGTTAAAACTACGAAAATTGTATTATATATATATATATATATATAAATCAAACAATGAAAAGTAGAATTGATTAAAGAACACCTCTTACTTCTAGCCAAACATAACCTAAGAGAACTGAAACAGAATAACATAAATTTGGGCCTCACGTCCAAACATAAGCCCACCAATCAAAAATCCTACTGAGGCCCAAACTTAAAGCCCACTAATCAGAAACCCTCCTCTACCTACTGTCTTCTTCCTCGGTTTCCCTCCTTTCTCTGCAGCATACGACGTCAAAGCTGCAGAACTTTTCGCACAACCGAATTTACCGTCTTCATCAACCGCCGGTGAGATACAACAGAACTTGCAGGAGGGTAGTCCGTGTGCATCGATGATATTAAGATAGAAGTTGAAGAGTTGCTATTGAGAAGTTTCTTCCTGAACTGAATTTTCGAGTTAAACACTTGTCAAGTTCAACTCTTTCAATGCTTGGAGTTTTCAAGTTGTTTGGTTTTTATTTGGCGGGAAAATGGGTTCTTCCAATATTAGAGATATCTTGACATCTTTTAGTCCTTCTCTGGATTTATTGGCTATCTGCACTGGAGATGATCGTATTAAGGTAGCTTAACTTTTTACAAGAAAATTTGCTGTTCTCAATGATAAACTGTAAGAGAACTTGTGCATTGTTGTTTCTGTTGTTTAGGTAACAATGTTGTTGTTGTTGTGGTTTTTCTTTTTCTTTTTCCTGGGTTACGTATGGGACACTCTAAAGGGTCAAATCCAAACTGAGTTCGCAGACATTGTGTCAAGTGAAGCAAGTGGAATATACAGGAAACCAGAAAGAAGGCAACTTTCAGTTGATTACAAGTGCATGAAGTGGTTATCTTTGGACTAGAAGGTAGGTTTGTTTTGGATATGAAGTGGTTGGTATGTTAAATCCTTGAAAAGAAATGGCGGAAGAGACTGTTTTGAATATGGGATTTTATCTTTCTGCTGAAGTCACTTCTGTACAGCGACCGCCACTTGTTTGCAGAAGAAAAGGAAGCTTGGAACTTCGCTCCTAATTGTAGGAACTGGTGGTGGTGATGTTTTAGCACTGGATGTGTCTGCTGGTCAGTTGAAGTGGAAAGTTAGTGATTGCCATCCCGGGTGAGGTCTTGGTTCAAAGTAATACTTTTAGTGGTATAAATTATTTCACATTTGATTTGATGAAAATTTTCACTTGAACGAGTTGTTTCTGTTTCTTCCTTTTGCCAAAAAAAAAAAAAAAAAAAAAAAAAAAAAAAAAGGAAAAGAAAAAGAAAGATCGTTTAGATGAATGCACATTATTTAAGGTTTATATCTTGATTGGTTAATTGATGCAATCTTTTGTTCGATATGCAGAGATTTGAGTTCCATTGCATTTTCTGCAAATGGTTCTCGCATTTAGAGTGCTGGTGCTGATGGAATGGTATGTGAAATTGATTCACTGACTAGCAATGTATCAGGAAAAAAGTTGAAAGCTTCTACAAAAGCAATATCCTGTATGGCAGTTTCATCAGGTATAGATTATTGTAACATTATTCCTTCTCTTAATATTTGCTTTAGAATCTGTTCTTTTTTGTTTATTCTTTACTTTAATTTCTGCCCCATCATTTCAGATGGAAAGATGTTAGCAACTGCTAGTGCACAATTGAAAACTTTTGATTGTTCCAACCATAAAAAGATTCAGAAGTTTTCTGGTCAACCTGTGAGTGTTCTTCAGTTGCCCTTTCTTTTTAATTGATCTAATTAAGTGAGATGATATCCCCTGTTTGCATCTAGCAATCTTTTTTTTTTTTGTCTTTAACTTTCTGTTCCTTATGAACTGGTTGTTATCAACTAATTAATAGGGAGCTGTTCGGTGTATCGTTTTCACTGAAGATGGGAAGTTTATTCTTTCATCTGCTGTTGGTGAAAGATACAGTGCTATGTGGAGAACAGATGGTGGCAAAAAGCAGTTAGCTAGTTGTTTACTTGCAATGGAGCACCCTGCTGTTTTTGTAGATAGTAGATGTGTTGAAAATGGGGTTCTGTATGTTTTTGCCATTTCTGAAAATGGTATCTGTTATTTTTGGTATGGTCAAAATACTGAGAAATTATGCAATGCAAAGCCCACAAAAGTTACATTAGCTTTGGATGGTCTTTACTCAAAGGGTCACAAAGGTGCTTTACCTGCAATATTTGCTGCAAAATTACAAGGGGTTCCCAAGCCTGCATTGCTTCATGCCTTTCTTGCCTATGGCTTGCTGGTAAAGCCATCATTTAAGAAAATTGTGATGCATTATGGCACAGATGTAATGTTGAATAGCTCTCAGGATGGAGTCCTTCTGCCAACAAGTCAGACCCTCATTAAATCTAAGAAAGGGCTCAAATGTACAAAATAGAGGTAAGCTGGATTTTGACTTTCTAGGACTTAGCTTATTCCCTGCAAAATTCTGTGTTTTTCTTTTATTTAGTTTGAATATGATGATTATAATTTATGTCTTATCCGGACCATTTATCTCTTTTCCGTTTCAAATATTCTTTAGTTTAAATCAGCTCTGTTGTTCTCTAATATTCATGAATGGCTAATTGCTTATCTCATCCCTCAACAGTTACTGCATTGGACTGTGCAAATGCAGAGGATGCATTAATTCCAATTCCAGTGGTTTCTGACCTTCAAGACCAAAAGGATAGATATCAAAACTTGAGTATTGATGTTGATGAAGAAATGGCTGATTTAGTTGGCAGTGTGGATGAATCCAAATTGGGGGATGGTGAAGGTAAGCTTAACAGTCAAATTTTTGTGAATCTCTAATATAACCATTAATAAATTATTCCTTATTAGTAAGGGCAGAATGATCATCTTTTTTAGTGTAATAGCCCACTGATACCATTAATCTAAAGATTTGTAATAATCAAGGTTAGTAAATAGGTTCTACATATATATAATGTGGAATTGACATTAATTACAGTGTTATGAATTTTTTAATATTGATGAAAACCTAATAATGTATCTAAGTGATGAAATGCTTACCATGTCATGGCTATGGTTTTGAATTCTAAAAACCCATGCCTTGACTTTCCTCATAGAAAAACGAGTTGTAAGGACAGGATGAGAAGAAAATGATTATATGAATTTGTCCTGCTGGGTTTCTGGTTCATTTTTTGTGATTGTTTCCCCATAAAGATCAATGTCACGAGGACATTAGAGGATACCTCTGTTGGTTATATTCATTGATTATTTTCACTTACGGAAGACATGGTAGAATTAGATGCTGGTTCCAAAATGCTTTGCATTGAGGACAGGCCAAGGTCATTCGGAATGCTCCATAGTCTTACATCCGACTCCACACTTGATGCTACAATGTTCAATGGTATTCAGCTTGAAGCGAGCATGCTGCAAAAGAACATCTGTTCTTTGTAGATAACTTGATGTCATTGTTTGTTGTCAAATTTTCTCATTTTATTACAGGTAAGCTTAGCTTGCTTCAGTTTAATATATCTCCTCTAACAGAAAAGAACAGTTGTTTTATCCTTGGCACCTAGTGATGCTCAGAAGCTGCTGCAAAACTTGGTTGCATTGTGGCAATCTAAGTTTGCTTTTACTTTTTGCTCTTTTTTATTTTTTCCCTTTTTTTTCTCTTCCCCCTTTCTTATGTAGGCTTAATGAACTGAAGACAGGGGACTAAAGGGCTTCCTTCTACATTTCTGAATCTAGATGTTATGTATGTGCTGAATGCATGGCATTCAATAATTAGAACATATTGGTGTGCATATGCATAGGATTTATTAGATAACCTAGATCTTATATGCAAATAGATTGATCAACTTTAATCTTGGATTTAGAATTCATTTAATTTATTCTTCAGCCAAGTTTGAAATTTTATTCTAGTTGAATGCTACAGGGCTAGAGTGAATGCTTCCTTGATACTAGCAAGTTCATTTCTATTGTTTGAAAAATCCTTTTAGGTAAGATGTAAAATGGTTTAAAGTGTGATGTAGATGGTGCTTTCATGGGAATGGAACTTGCTGTTTTCCTAAAAAAAATAGTTTAAAGTGAATATGATTGAGATTTAAATCTTTGATTGTTAACAACAGGTCAGACAGTAGAAGATATGTCCTTCCATGGATATACAGTATATCGGTGAATCACAGTCAACATAACATGTCTCAGGAAACTGTAACACAAATGCTTGATTCCTTGTTGAAGGTAAATATTGTTTTAAAAATTCTTCTTCATTTATGTGCTATTATCTTTATAACTCAACAATTTGGCCAACAAAAAATTGAAACAAATTGCCTACAACTGCAACATCTTGCTTCTTCACTGTTTTGCCTTTTTTCCCAGATCCAAACTTGTTACATTGGAAATTACTTACCAATTTCTTTTTTAAGAATTAGACATTTCTTTGTAGATTTCTTTATATCTGGTTCATGGTGTTGTTTCCTCCAGATTACCAAATCCAAAAGGGTGGCTATTCAATCATCGCTGCAGTTATCAGGTCATTTGCAACTTGCAACAACACAGGTTGGTAGCTTATTGTCATCACTTAAAGTATCGGTGTATGATTTTGCCATTGACTACATTTTATATTATTTAAACAGACTGAAAAGGCAACCTGGAACAAAACTCACCCCTCAGCATATCACCAGATGGATGAAAGTGATGATGAGGATGATAGTGAAAGATGAACGTTTGGGTGGGCGACGATGATAACTAAGTGAATTTATGTGAGAGGAAACAGTGTGTTATACAAATATTCATTCTATTTATTACTGATTGACAAGGCTACTTGTTGGATCCTTTCTGTGGGAAGAAATTTTGCTTTTCATCAAGCTTCTGATTGATGGTAGGTGCTAATTTTTATGAGGAGCTAGATTTTTGTTTTGTTTTTCTTCTGATAATTATTTCTTGACTGAGAAAAATGTATGATTCTATTTTTTCTGAATTTATAGAAGTCAAATTATGTTTTAATTAACTTGCACAAGTTCTAGTCATATTCATTAACCTGCTGCCATTTAATTTCAGGATAATCTTTAAAATATTGGGATTTATTTGTCAAAAATTTAATGCTGAGAAGTGTTTTTAGAGAATATTATCTTAGCTGGCAGCATGTATTTGCTCTCTTAGAAGTGAAACGCAGAATCAATTCTCCCAGCACATACAAGTTTAGAATCTCATTCCTCCCCCAACATTTGCATCTTGCAGTTTTTCTCACATGCTCATAGAGAAAATTGTTATTGACTCTAGATTCTCACTTTCTAAAGTTATTTATTTATAATTAATTCTGTCTTGGAGGCAAAAGAAAAAACCTCCCTTTGCATACCGTTCTTTACAAAACTATCTACATTATTCTACATGCATTTGGATTTTCATCGCTGAAAATTGATGTAATATTTCCATTGTTGTTGCCGTTGCTGTGATTCTCTTCATTATAGTAGTCCATCCAGCTGTAATGTAGGTATGGCGGTGGTGAATGGATATACTGGTGGTCGATGATGTAGGGTGATGGCCTGTATGTATTGTAGCTATGAGTCACATAGATAGGCTGGGGTGGCTCATTCTGTCCCATATAGATAGGCTGGGGTGGGTCATGCGGAGAATTCTGGGCATTTGGTTGCTCGTGTTGTCTCCCATAGATAGGATGGGGTTGCTCATGTGAAAAACTCTGGCCACTAGGTGGCTCAGGTTGTCTCACATAGATAGGTTGTGGGGGCTGAGGTGGAAAACTCTGAACATTTGGGTGTCTGCTCCAGTGTCCATGCCCACTGTAGCTGTGACCATAGTCATATATATAGCCGTAGTTGGGTGGATTGTGGTGTATTACATGGACCTCTCCGACATTATTTAGTCTAGGTGTGTGTCCTGGCTGGCTGGTATTGATGTTACCACTAGCGGGTGCTGGTGTGGCCTCTGTTGGTGGATTCTCTGGCGGTGGTTGGTCTCTGGGTGGCTCTGCTTGGGGTGGTAATTCAGCTTGAGGAGCCGCTTTACCCTGTTGTTCTTCAGCTGGGGGAGGCTGGTTTGCTGTCTCAGGAGCTGGTGGGGTGCCTTCAGGTGGTTGTTCTGGTGGCTGAGCAGAAGGATCTGTTGGTTCGGAATGGGAGCAGATGGTTGCAATCTTCCTCGTTTTCCTTATAGCTTTGAGTATTTTTTCTGGATCTGCCCGCCCCACTACTGTTAGCTTCTGCTGAGGAACGTCAATATGAAGATCATAGATACCTGGCATATGAGAATTAAGTTCAAAGGTCAGAACTAAGCAATGGCTAGACGTTATTGCGAGTACAATAAAAGGTATGCGTTTCTTCTCTCCTTACCATCAACTCCATGCAGTGCCTTCTTTATCTTCTGCACACACCCATTGCAGTCCATCCGGACTTGTATCTCTGTGACTCGAGGTCTCTGCATTTGAGTGAAAAATAAATGGTTAGTTTGATTAAAACTTTATAGTTTTTGGTCCATTGGTGTTTGGGGATGCAGAAACTAATCATTGCTAAACCATTGGATTGGAAGCTTACCTCTAACTCCGGCACCATGAGGTGAGCAGAGGGAAAGAAGAAACCTGGAAGAGATATGTTCTGAATGAGATGGTGATAGTGGAGAGAGTATGAGAGAAGAATCAGTAGGTGACTTTTATTTGTAGAAGATGTAGGGAATATTTGGAAGGCAAAAGATTGCGGGACATCAAAGGAATCTCTTTTTCTCCGACTGTGCTGAGAAGGAAAGAAAGTGGGAGGAACTGTTTGCTAACTTGATTAGGCTCGTTGGGTCATTCTCAAATCTTAAAGAGAAGGAAGGGGGATGTGGGTTCAAGAACGGGGGTCCCTGTTTTCCTGTATGGACCTTGAAATATTGAGCCAAGGGAATTTGCTTTAGGCAGGATGAGATAGCCAACCATATTAAGATATCCAAAACCGACCTTAGAAACGAGTTAAAAGCATCCAAACACAGAATAAGACTATTTGCATTCATGGGTTCTTTCAGTCAATCATAACCAAAGTAGCTTTTTAGGGTCTGTGAGGATATCCACTCTCAAGGAATCCTTATGTTTGAAGGAAAAGATCACTATGGCAGATGAAAATGATAGCAACGTAGTTTATCTGTGGCATGAGCCCTTTATTAGTGATTTAAAGGGACAAGCAGCCTTTGTTTTTGGTCATTAAAGGTGATGGTGAATGAAAACCAGATTCTTCACCTAGCATTAGCTGTCAGCACGGGAGATTTTGTTGATAAAGTCTCTTCTTTTTTTTTTTTTTGGTTTCTCGCCCGGTATCCGGGACTTCGCCTTGATTAATCTGGACCGATCCGCATCGCACATCTAGAAATGGTGGGTGAGTCTCTCAATAGAAGCTGTTGCGTACATAAGGTCTCAAACTTGAGAACTTACTTAAACTGAAACAAGTCGCTTACCACTTAATCCGACCCCTCGTTGGTGATAAAGTCTCTTCACTGTGATATAGACTTGTCTACCCACAATTGGCTCCTTAAGTTAGTTTGGTTTTAGAATATCAGGTGTTATTACTATATTTATATTCACACAAAGCTTAACCTTCTTTCGTCCTTTTTTTTTTTTTAATGAATTCTCTATAGCTTTAACCTTCTTTCTTCCTTTTTTTTTTGCCCTTTTTAATGAATACTTTCGTTCCTTTATTCAACTCATTGTATATTCACACATAGCATAACCAAGTAATGATTGGCTATAACGAGGTCCGGGTCAATCAAAATTTTTTGAGACTATTTGTGGTCGCTTTGATGATGTAATTCTCATAATTCATTTTCCCATCGGGTGACGACCACTTCTATGGAGATTCCAGCCAGGGAATTGCTTGATGCTCTGGGATTTTTGATCCAGCCTATTTTTAAGAACTTTTGAAAATGGTGCAAGATATTAACCCATGTCAATTCCGGGATGGACCGTGTGGACTGCCTCCGCACCATTCAGTGCTTGACAGATAGTTTGACGAGTGACCTTAGACAATCTTTTGTTTTACACTCCTCTTTAGGCTATCCGATATCCTGCGAGCCAGGGTTTACTATATATATATATATATATATTTGATAATTCGGGTATTCAAACTTTTAACCTGACTAATTTCATGAATACTTATAAACTATTCTAACCATAAATATTGAATAAGGCTTTACCTTCAAAGGTAGTGGGTATAACTTATTGAAATTATTTGCACTCAAATGATGTTAGAGAGATTTGAACTTGCATTTTCAGTTTGGTTATAATGATTCTTTAACTACTTGAACCAACTCAAGGTAAAACTAATAATACTCAATGGCAGGGCTTGAACCTAAGACTAACATGTGCCACTAATCCATGCCAATGCCAGCAATACTTATAGTTGCTTTGACTGGCACCATCAGCTGCGGCTGTGGAGTCCTGCAGCACTCCCTCTCCCAAAGCCCAAACATCACAACTGCAAGAAAGCTTCAAAGCACGGTTCAAGGGCATGTTTTGTTTGGAAACTCTCAATTCACGGCAGCGATGAATGAAACAGTTCTCAGTATGCCTCTACTAAAGTCTAAAGCTAATAACACAAGCAAAAAAGTACAACCACCAAAATTCCAGAAATGAAGTTCAAAGTAGTCTTGCTGTGTCTGAAAAGGTTCATTATACACAGCCATTGCTACACTTAGATCACAAATAGTAAACTTGCCAAGCAAGTTAATACTGGGTCAAATGCAAACCATAAATACATGTGACCACCTTGTGAAAATCACAAGACAGCTTCAGTTCATTTCTAGTAACAATGAACATACTTCTACTGCTATTCAAAACTCATAAACTCATATTGAAGATTTGTGTAAAACCCTAAGTTCCAAACAGGACATCTAAAGGCATCGAATTCTGAAGAATTAAATCTTTGTAATAAAAGTATAATCAGTGCTTTCAAATTGCTTCTGCAACAAGAGAATGCTTTTCAAGAATAGCGATGGTCTCTTCCTTTGCACTGAAAATACACGGGAAAAATATTAAAATGTAAATACTCAGGCTTAGAAATACAGTAAGACTGTGTTTTGACTGCAAGAAACCAACGGAGTACTTAATATGCAATAATTAACTCAGACACGCAACGGGGCATGGAGATTTGAACTCTGAACTTTGAACTCTAAACCTCTCAAAACTTTAAGACTGTGTTTTCCTGATCCATCTTAGGTCATGATAAGAAAAGCTCTTTTAATTGAAAGTATACTTACCTTCCTGGTCTAAGAATCTTGTACTTCTCTGGCTTAGTGAGGTCCACAACTGTTGATCCTGCACGACCTGCTGGAAGCACACCACCATCATAAACATAGGCACAGTGTTCCCACAGGTTCTCAAAATCATTGATGCAAACACTACTAGGTTTCCCACTCAGGTTTGCACTTGTAAGAGCCACTGCACTTCCTGAACCTCGGGAAACAATCCTAATGAAGTTAGAGTCTGGGACTCGCACTCCTATACTATCTAGTCCTGGGTTCAAGGACTTCTCAAGGATGCTAGATTCCCCTGAAACATATTCAAATAATCAACAGCAGAATTTAGACACAAACAGCTCAAGCATGACTAAAGGCAACAAGCCAATTGCTATTAACATGTAACAAACCTCGCTGTAATACAACAGTAACAGGTCCTGGAAGAAGAGAGTCAAGTAAGCCACTAGGTAAATGGGCTGTCACAGCAAACCGGTTTATGTCAGGAACATCACCAACACAGATAGCAAGAGGACTTGTGTGCTTGCGTCCTTTGATATCATAAATCCTATTTACTGCTTCCAAAGAACTGTGACCATGTTCCAAACAAATTGAAAGATTAAATCCATGTATATCAGTCACAAAAACATATTGGAAAACCTAGTTCATCCCCTTTTAAAGTTCTTTCGAAGGACAAGAATATGAACTTTGAATTCATCCTACGGTAAGCAAAAGAAGGCATGAAAGGTTCACAGAAAGCATAGAAGACCAAATAATGAGAAAACCAAGTTGTCACCTAGGCTTCTGATTTTGAGACTAAGAAGTTCATCCTCCCTATGAGTAGATAAGCCAGTCAAACAATCTAATCATTTCCTAGTCTATCTGAATCCACTAAGAACCTGTTGGCAGAAATGAATAATTAAACAAGAGTACATATTATACAGAAAGCATACCAAGCATCACAAGCAAATCCATAAAGGGTATCAGTGGGCACTGCAATGACTTTCCCAGCTTTGAGGGCTTCAATAGCCTCATCAGCATAGACTTCTGTTGCAGGATGAACCACTCCCATCTTGCTTTCAGCACCCACTTCGCATTTTTGCAGGCTAGAAGCCATTCTCTTAGCAAAACCTCCTCTCAATCTTCTCTCTAGTAGCAAATATGGAACAAACCCCAACTTGCACAAGCCTAAAATACCATTAACAGAGATAAAGGTTCGCCCTTTCCTTCTAAAAACTCAAAGAAAAACTAAAAGAGAGAGAAACTGACAATTGAATTGTGGATTAAAGAGCACCTTTCTGAGGAACACGAACAATGAAAAGAGGCAATTTCCCTGAAAGATTCATACTTTCTTCAAGTTCTTGTATTTAGAACATAGAACCATATCTGGGTATTTTCTGTTTTTGGTCTCTCTGAACTAGCTGAGATTCGACCAGAATCAAAGTTGCTTCAGACCCAGTCGCCATTCAGCTATCTGAAATTTCGAAGGTATTTAGATATTTATTTAGCTTAATATGGTAGAATTTTTGCCCTATATCACTACGCAAAAAACTTATTCCTGGTTTTTGGGACGCAAAAACGTTTCCTTAACAAGCTTTTATTTAAAAAAAAAAAAAAAGTAATGTGAATTTCTCACCTGAAGAAATTAATAATTTCAATTTTTTTTTTTAGATTAAAGATGAAAAAAATTGTGCACTAAACTTTCTCGCTGCTTAACCGTTATGCCCCGTTTGGTATATGCAATTTTTTGAGAAAAAACCTGCAAATTACACTGCAAAAATGTCTTCTGGGTTTGGTTGGCTAAAGTTGTTGAGGGAATTATAGAATTTCTTCTACTTAAACCCTGAAATGTTAACTATTTTAATAAAAAAAACGAGAAATGTTAGTGATATTCTTTCTAACACTCCTTTTAATACTCTTTCTACGTAATTATGCCATATGATATATAAATTTAATATGATTGATTATAATTTTAAACTTTAAAAATATTAATTTTAATTTTAATTATTAATCACCAATCATATTAAATTTATGTGTCACATAACTCAATCATATAAAGTGTTTAACAAAAACTATTAAATAAAGTATCATTAGGCACCGAGCCCTTCGGGCCAAGTGGCAATAACCACTTCAGGTGCACTTCTCCCACCCTGACTTGGGTTCGACCCAAGCCCTTGTAAAAACTGTTCAAAAAAAAATAAAAATAGAGTATCATTAGTGTTTCTTTTTATGGTAATTGACAATTTTAACATGAAAATTACATTTATATTTACTAAATACTAACAATTTTTCTAGATACCAAACAGGACCTTGTAGAAAGTTACAGTTGCAGCATCTCACCCAAATTATATATATAGGAAAACATCAAAATTCCTAAAAAAAAAAAAAATACAAATTATGTAAACATACTGATTCAACTCATACATACAAAACCCTTTTATCCACATAACATCTTGATGAACAAATCTATCTCATGGCTCCATTCACAATAGTCACATATCTTTATCACTTCCTTTTCTTCATCTTCCAACCACATATCAATATATTTGTAAACCCTTTCATGCCCACAAAGTTTCGGTCTTCGGATAAAACCATCATAATTAATCCAATTATTTTCCCACTTAATAGTTGCTATAATTGACTCTGTTCTCTCCCGAAACCTTCTAATCTCTTCGTTGGGTCGCAATCTCTTCACTGAATGTAGGAGCTCACTACCTGCAAGACCTTAGTGAAGTCAGTGTAAATAAAACATTAAAAGAAATAGTAATTTTAATTCAGATTACATGCAATTTAGATTATGAAAATATTTTAATATTTCTATAATTTAAGTTCTTATAATTTGACTTTGAAAAACAATATTTTCCAACATCAATTTAAAATTCTAAAAAATAAAAAAAAAGACCACCCTTTTAACCCTCCAAATATATATAAAGAATAAAGAATAAAGCTTCTCAAATCTCACCTTGTTTTTTCAAGTTATCCTCTCCGGAGCAAAGTAAGATAATTCCATAAACATAGATAGCATTTGCATGATCTTTCTCTGCAGCGGTTTTTAATTTTTCCAGCCTTGAAAACTCTGGTTTTTGGCAGCCGAAATAATCAAACATTCCTTCTCGGAACAACAAATCACGGTTCCCACATCGCCTGCAACGTTCGAAAAAGGAACGTGCTTCTTTTCTTTCACTCCATTGATATTTTAGAATACCATGTATCGAAACGTTTTCAAAGATGTAATCATCTTCTGCAGCTTCATGAAGAAATTTGCAAGTTTGTTTGACGTTCAATAGATCCTTAAGGGAATGGGAGGCGACTCGACCAAGAATATCCGTTATGAGGTTGTTTGGAAGAGTAAGAAACTTGGAGACACTACTTCTTTTTCGTTTTAATGTTTTGGAAAGCGCCATGGATGGTGTTCAGAAGCTAAGAAAGGGGAAGGAAGTTTGCAGAAAAATCAGGGAGGGAATGAATGGATGTATATAAGTAGGAGAGGAGAGAAGAAATGCGGTTCTTTACTTCGTAGGGGTGTGTCCAATTCAACGTAGGATTTGGATAATAACGGTTCGCGTACGTCACCAATTGGGGCTGTCATGCCACACCGTTGATCGACAGATTTCTACACCGTTTATTCTTTTTTTTCTCCTCTTTTACAGCTCTAAAGACGCTAGAGTGATCCATTTATCCCTGACTTTTTTCTGTCCTTTTTATAATTGAATCCTTCCCTCCCAAGTATCAAAAAGGAAAATGATAATTAAGGTACAATTTTTTTTTGGTTCGAACAAGTTTATATTTTGGGAGGAGAGATTTGAATCCCATGTCTTAAAATGAAGGTGCATCTTATTATTATAAAATATATAATTATTAGATCATAAAATCTAAATGTAAGATATAATTTGTATTGTATATACTAAACGTAGTTTACATTTTTTTTTTATTAAGATATATGGTATTATATTTATTTATTTATTTAATAAAATATAGAAATAAAAATTATAAATTATAAATTACCTCAATAAGTGTTAGGATGATAAGAATAAAAAAGAAAAAAGAAAAAGAAAGAAATAACAATTTACAAAAGAGGGATAGAATCAAGTGTGATAGGTCAACGCCTTAAGCAAGCTCGGGATAATTTCTCTTTAGAATGATTGTTAATCTCAAAAAAGGAAAGAAATCTCTTCTTTCCCCTTTTCTCTCCCTTCTCTTTTTCTCTCCCTTCTCTTTTGCTTCTGCCTCTCTTCTCCGGCACTGCGTTTGTTTTGATTAGAAGCCTTTGAGCTTTCGAGGTTTTGATGCTTGAGCTACTGGGCTTCCCGACCGCTCAAGCATGCTGGAGCCGACTTGTGCTCCCTCCTCCGATGATCCTTCGGGATCTGTCGGTTTCTGGGTCCCTTTCCGGTGACCCCTTTTGGTTTTTTTGTTTTCTGGTTGTTTTGTTTTGTTTTATGTTCTTGTACAATTTGTTTTTTTCAGATCCAACGACCCTCGGCTCTTTCCTGTTGATCTTGGTAGGGGCTCATTGGTTTTTTTATGTTTTTTGTTCTATTAGGTGCAGATCTGGCGGCCTTCTTTCTCCTCTGGCGAATCTGAGGCGGCACGCGCGAGGGCTGCCAGATCTGACGCCCACCGCGGCTCTCCTGCTGGTTTTGAGGGACTTCCACCGCCTGATTGGGTTACCGCCCCAGCATCCTGGAGCCTGACGCTATTTCTTTAAGGGTAGGTAGAAGGGTGTCCCATATGGATTGATCGACTAAAGGCCGTGGTATTTCCGGGGTCATTCATGGTTGTTCGAGTGCTGAGTGCACCTCCCTTCAGCCTCTGGATATGGGTCTACTCTAATATTTTGTTCCAATTATTTTTACTATTTGTTATCTTTGTAGATGTCGTATGACGGTATTTGTAATGAAACCATTCCTTTATGCTCAAAAAAAGGAAAGAAAAAGGGTAATTGTTGGGATGATAGCCCAATACCAAGTAATAGGCTCTAAGCCCAACACCGACCCAATATGAAAATAAGCCATGTGAAAAAAGGACAATTCAATTTAAGATAAATACACTAATAAAA